ATCATCAGCTAAACTAACAGACAACTGTCTGCGTTCACTAATGATCGCTAAAGATGACTCTGAATGGATCTCGGTCAAATTTACGCAACCGTTAGCTTGACCTCACTACTGCCAAGAGCCAGCAGTTAATTTTTAACAAAAAAAAAAAAATCTTCTTTGAAGGGGGAAAAATAAATAAATAAAAAAACATTTTAAAAATGCATTACATACTACACTGCCCAAAGTGTGTGCTTGTGTGTAAATTTTAAACAGCATTAAAACCGTCAGATCAAACAACAAATATACAAACAGAATGTGTGCTAGCAGGTGGCTGTTCATCAAATCATGTCACACGCATTCAGGTGATTCATAACTGAATGGTTTTCGGCTGAAACAAAAAGCACGCCAATAAAAACTGGTCTTAGAATGCTCCAGTGTGGTTTTGCAAAAAAAAAAAAAAAAAAAAAAAAAAAAAAAAAAAAAAAAAAAAAAAAAAAAAAAAAAAAAAAAAAAAAAAAAAAAAAAAAAAAAAAAAAAAAAAAAAAAAAAAAAAAAAAAAAAAAAAAAAAAAAAAAAAAAAACAACCCACATTTAATATCCTACAGAACAGTAGGTCAGAGCGTTGGGGCAAGATCAGGGCTAACAAAAATGCCTTACCACAAACAAAGGAATGTGCCTACACTTCTATATCACCTGAAGAGGGGGGGGGATTATGCTGTTTTGTATAAGTAAGGCACATTTTGTTGTGGGAGCAACCAATGGATAACAGCAGGAATACAAATACTGAGAAAGAGAGAGCAATGGCGCCTGCGTGCTTCTAACATGGTCTTCAGGAATGACTGATCCAAATGAACTCTAATATCGCTCAACACTCCATAGGGAGTAGGGGACAAGAAAAGGGTGCAGGCTACACTGCCTGTTCAGATGGTGGATTTAGAGAAGGAGACTCGGAGGCGATGGCCACGGCCCATATCGTAGCTATGGAGGTCGATCAGGGCTTGAATGGCCTCCTCCACCGTCGCCATCTGCAGTAGGGCCATTTTGCGGTCTCTGATGTGAAAAACAAAGACGTGGATAGACAAATCAACAACATGAATTTGCAGAAAAATGCAGAAGTTCTATATCACTTCAGAAAAGTGCAGCTCTAAATCACAGTCTTGTTCTGGACATTTGACTATGTTATGTTTACTTTCACTCATCTGGCATACATTTACAAGAGTCCAATCGAGGTACAGAGCTCATTACACTGTTGCCATATAGTATCCAGGTGATTCTCACTGCTTCTGATTGTTACTAGGGGTGGAACCGAACACAAGTTCTAGGAAAGAGGTCATGTATGACAGCAGTATTTATTATAAATGCTGAGGCATGTGTCACTATAACCCTGGTCTCAGAGTGAACACACAAGGTACACTATATGGCAAAAAGTATGTGGACACCTGACCCTCACAGCCGTATGTGGACACCCGACCCTCACAGCCATATGTGATTCTTCCCCAAACTGTTGCCACAAAGTTGAAAGCACACATAGGATGTCTTTATATGCTGTAATATTAAGATTTCTCTTCACTAGAACTAAGAGGCCTAAACCTGTTCTAGCACGACAACGCCCCTGTGCACTAAGCGAGGTCCATGAAGACATGGTTTGCCAAGGTTAGAGTGGAAGAACTCGAGTGCCCTGAAAAGAAACCCTGACCTCAACCCCAATGAACACCTTTGGGATGAACTGGAATGCTGACTGCATCCCAGGAGTCCTCATCTAACAACAGTGCCTAACCGGGCAAAACCCCACAGCACAGCTCCAAAATCTAGTGGAAAGCTAGATTCCCAGAAGATTGAAGGTTATAATAACAGCAAAGTGAGACTAAATCTGGAATGAGATGTTCAAAAGGCACCTACGAGGGTTATGGTCAGGTGTCCACACAATTTTGGCCATATAGTGTATCCAGATCATTCTTACCACTTCTGGGAGTTATCTGTGTCTCTTCGCTATATAAAGCATTTTATGTATTAGTAACATATGTATAATACGTAGTAAAAATAGTGCAGTAGTAATGCAAGTTTTAATAAGGCACATCGTCCTATAATCAAAGCTGAAAAATCTTACTGAAAGAACTTGAAGGCCTTCACTGTGCCTCCAGAGTTGGAGAAGAGAAGTCTCAGGTCCTCTTCATTCACCTTCTCACTGTGGAAAGACACATTGCATCCATGAACTTCCTAAAAAGGTAAAACCAAAGTGGCAATTCCAAGACACCCAGTCATCCGCTACAGACTAGCTGAGTAGCTCTGAACTAGTTAAGTATGCTCTCTGCGTGCTTCTGCTCTTCTACTCACGGGATGTTGGACAAGTGGAGTGTGGCTGATGGAGGAAAGATGTTCTGGAAATTCTTTGAGCCAGGCTTTTTGAAACGATGAAGGGGTGAATTGATGAAGTCTTTAGTGAGGCCCTGATCATCCAAGCCTTCTCGAGGAAGCTGCACTGTCTGGTGTTTGGAAAGGGTCACACGGATGATCTTCCCAAACATCTTCTGCCCATTTAGGTGGCTCATAGCTAGAGAAAAATAAAGTATGGCATGTTTTAAAAGAGCAAAAAAACTTAAATATGATGCCGATACAAGGATGCTGTCTTACACACTGGTAGGGTGAGGCCTCAATGTGGCACTAGATATTCAGGTAGACTTCAAGCTTAAATAAGGACTTTTCTGCTATATATAATTATATCATTAACAAATCTTCAGTCTTCTGGACCCCACTGCAGTTATTCAGCCCTACCTAACTGTGCTTGGTTTCCATCAGTCATCTGGATGAGGGCGCTGTCCTTCTTATTGTAGAGGATCTTGACTCGTTGCACATCCCCATACACACCTTCAGTTAGACAGGAGGCAGATGGAGGTAGGAGGCAATGACGAGCGGAAGAGAGAAGTCAACCATGAAGGACAAGTTAGTGCTTTACAGGCTGGAGCCTGGACACGAAGATGGCATCTTAAACAAAAACAATCTATAGCATAGCGTGTTTATAGAGTAGAGAAAAAAATTCTGATACACCCTCCCATATAGAGGAGCTATGTGATATGGAAAAGTAAAAAAAAAAATAAAATAAAATAAATAAAATAAAGGAAGCCTACATGCAAAATCATCAAACATGCATTACAATAAGCTGTACATGAGAAGAGACAGAGAGCAAGATAGAGACAGACTTCAAAAGGCCAAAATAGACCTGATTAAAATGTGAACAAAAATATAACTGGTAAATTAAAAGTGTGTCCTGAATTACAGATGTTCATTATTAACTAAATATAAAACAGACAAACCAAATATGTAAGAATATAAAAATAACCAAGAAGTAAATAAAATGAAATAATAAATAAAAAAAAAAGGAGGTAGATTGCCAACGATAACATACCGAAGAGGGTAAAGAGACTTTGGGGCGTAACCATCTTTAGAAGGAGAGAAGAGCAAGCAGCGTAAGACAGGAAGAGAGAAGAGTCGAGGTAGAGCGAAGATGAACAGATCATCCATAACGGAGGGTGGTTTCCCGCACGATGGTGAGGTGACCATGGAGCATGGGTCAGGGAAGTTAATTGGGGCGGGGTTGGTCCGAGGAGGAACATTTGTTTTGGTTTGTTTTTTTTTTTTGTGTGTGTGCGTGCGTTTTGTTTTGTTCAGGCGCAAAGCATGAACAGGAATGGGACAGGATTGGGGAGAAACAGGAGGTGGAGAGGAAAAGGGGTTGGAGAGGAGAAAAAGGGTTGGGAAGAGGAATAAAAGGGGAAGGGGTGAAAGCAAAATAAAATAAATAAAATGGAGTTGAAGGGAAGGACAAAAAATATATACACAGGTCAGTACACAGGAAATGCAGGTCAAAAATGGCAGGGTTCTCTATTCTTTCCTCTGTTTTTTGTTTTTGTTTTTTTCCTGCTCCCAAACTTTGCTGTACTTGTGCCAAATGTAGTCTCCAAAGACCAAACGTGGGTTAAGGCACTTCTGTTGAAGCCTTACCCAGGAATGGGAAAAGCGAGCGGGCATGCAGAGAATAGGGCAGATTGAGGAGATGAAGCTTTAGGTGAGTATGAAATACAGATAGCTTTGATTATAAAGCAATGCAAGCCTTTCTGTTTTTTATTAGAGTGATAAGGCCATGCAGGAAATGGGCATGAAAACCACCTTGCAGAGTTATGGGCATCAAATAGAAACGTCACGTCATGTTTAAAAAACCACAGACCCACGGGAGTGTTTTGAAAAACAAAAAAACACATGATGGGAGAACACATTACTGGGAGATTTTATAGAGAAGTAGAAAGAGAAAGTGTGAGCGAGAGAGAGAGAGAGAGAGAGAAAGAGAGATGAGGCGTGGGGTGGGGTGGGGCTACCACATTTCATACCAACTCTGAATAACTTAGAGAGAGGCAGTGGAACGTCAGGAGAAGGAGAGAGGAGTTACAGCTTAGAGAGAAAAGACAGTTAGATATTACTTCAAGACAGAGCAGCAGAAAGAGCAATAGAGCAATAGAAAAGAGAAGAGAGACAAAGAGAGAGAGTGAAAGAGAGAGAGAGAGAGAGAGAGAGAGACAGACAGATAGGCACAGTGGTCAAAACTTGTACAGAATGCACAGAGAGACTGCAGAGACCCTCCATTTTGACGAGAAATTTATCAAGAAATGCTTTCAGTATATTTATGTGCAGAAAACATCTATCACTCTGTTTACACCCAAAACATTAAGCTAATTCTAAATATACTGAAATGACATTAAATAACTCACTAAGGATGGTGGAGAATGTACAAACTGCTCACTGCACTTCATGTAACCAACAGTAAATTAAACACAAAAGATGAAAGTGCCACAAATATCAACTAATAACCCTTTTCAACCAGCAAAGTGCTGATGTCTAATCTGGAAACGCTCTCTTGATGCTTCAGAAGGGCTAGTTCGGTTTAGTTCAGGCACCAAAATGCTGCTTGGATGGAACCAAGAACCAGTGACATCAGGAGCTTGGGAACACCATCGCTGTGTAACTGCAGAGCAGTGGTAGCTCTGTGGTTAAGGCTCCGGGCTACTGATCGGAAGGTCCGGGGTTCAAATGCCAGCACCACTGTGAGCCCTCGAGCAAGGTTCTTAACCCTACCCTGCTCAGTTGCATCCTGTCTCAGTTATAAGCTGCTTTGGATAAATGCTTCAGTTTCAAGCTAAATTAAATACAACAGTGGTCAGAGCAGGAAACAACTGTTTTACTGGCAACTACAACAACCTGAATAGTAGATACATTGTCAGTACTAATAAATCCACTGAGCACTTGGGCTACACGACACGGACAAACATTCTATGCAATGGTAATGTGAGATGCGATAAATTAAGACTAACATACTTGAATGTGTTGGGCTTGATGTTATGCAGAACCTGACAGTGAATGTTTTATTAATGTTTATTAGGCAAAAAATTAACAATAATGCCAATATTTCTCTTGTTAAAGCAAATAATCGTACTATTGGGCAAAGTGCAAAATAAAAGCATCAAGACCAAGATAGCATCATAAATAGTATACATGGACAACTTTTTTTTTTTTTTATTTCAACCCTGCCAACATGCAGCTAGTGCAAATCCCAAATGATTTCCTGTTCACTACTTATGCGGTCTACCTAGAGTACATCAATGCTGCTGTACACACCATCTAAAATTTAGCCATGGGAAGAAAATGTAGCAGAAGAACAGAGCTGAATGTAACACATATTTGAGTAAGAGCAAAATGTATTCTCTATACTATTACTAGAACAGTTTATTTTAAAAAGTTACTTATTTCATTTTAACTGAGTCACAGCTACTCGACATACATTCTCTCTGCTTAACATAACATAACATAACAGTGTGTTTGGTTGTTCGTGTGTGTTTTACCTCTGTTTCTACGCTAATAAACATCCTAATTCTTTTATCACGGCCTTCCATGACGAGATACATACAGAATAAATAGCCAAGAGCAGTTGTTTCGCACAAAATATTTACTTGACAATATCTCTGCCAATAGTCCACTGCCTTTCAATACATTTAGTACTGTTTGCTTTTTCTTTGTCGGACTATATAATGTCATGATTTATAATCCCACTATCCAGGGTCATGCAGAAGAGGATGGGTTCCATCGAGTCTGGTTCCTCTCACGGCTTCTTCCTTATGTCGTCTCTGATAGCCTTTTCTTGCCACAGCAAGCGCTCATGAGGTATCTAAATCTACATATTTTCTGTACTTCTGTAAAGCTGCTTTGTGACAATGTTGATTGAATCTCTGTGCTGTGTGTGGATCTTTGGAGTTCACTCATTTCAACAGATTCATGTTTACTACCTCCATTCCACTTGCCGTCTTTGCTCACTGCGCTGTACTGTCTTCGATTACTGTCTCTAGTCCATGTCTCTGAACTTGTGTACACACGTCATTTGCACTTTATGCTTTATATTCCATTTACACCGTTTTTGAAACCATGCCATTTGCACGTTACTTTGCACTTAACTACCACCCTACCTCATTGTCTCTTAATGTTCCTTGCTTTTCTGTATTTCTGGTTAGATGCTAACTGCATTTCACTGGCTTTGTACTTGTACTCTGCTCAATGACAAAGTTGAATCCAGTGTAATCTAATCTAAACTAATGTGAGGCTGCTCAGAATTTAAAACTGTCTACCATTTCTGAACAGCACAGCTAACAACATGGCTGCTTTTCTTAAAACCTCTGTGAAACCCAAAAACCTGAAATATTGATATTTGCTGTGCTCTTTAAGGATGGAATATCAGCTTGCAGGCTGAGTAGCTTCTCGGTTGATATTTGCGGCACCTTTTTCACCTCGTCATAATTACACAGCGTTTTGTCATCATTCATCACTGGCGTCGATATTATATCCAATACAATTTAGCTGTAGTTGAGCAACTGTTTAAGAAACCATTTGGTTTGTGAGCAGTGACACTATAGACAAATGCACTTATGAGGACGCAGGATGTTCTACTATCTTTCAACATCAATTTCAACTCAATAGGCACATCAATATTGCATTTTGTGCACAAGTGCAAAAGGTCAAAAGAGCAAACAACTGAACAACTGAAACGCAAACTACTGAAATGCAAACTGTCACCGATCAAAGACAGGGTAGTTTACAAAGAACAGTTTGGCCAAAATTTATATGTATTGGCCAAATGTATTCATTTAGCCAAGTTTTTATCCTTTTTTTTTTATACTGGAAGGACAAGGATACTTATGCTAAGACAGCAGGATTGTTTTGCTGTCGCGGTTTCAGGGATGTCATGGTGTATGATCGGATGGTTACCTCACCGCTGACATTTTCAAAACACTGATTAAAAAGCATTTGTGTCTATCACTGTCAATTTTTTTTTTTTTTGCCTGATCCTCCAGTGCTTCCTTACTCCAGTGGTTCTCGTCCCTTTTCTGTCCAGCATTGACTCCCCAAAAATGACCACCTTCTCCTCACGAGTCCCCCTAAATCATACTACCTCTGCTGCCACTCCTAGCACGTTATCAACTTAATCGAATGCATAGAATGACAGTTTAATCTATGTTATCATACTGTTTAAGATTTTCTGCAGTGACACCCCTACAAAACAGTTTAGGATTCTGTAAAGTGCATGCCTAATTCATCTCACATGCCTCAAACCCCTTTGTTAAGCTGTTCAGTATCTCAAACAGACTTGCTTATGAGGTTTGCGTGGGACTGTTATTTAATCTCGCTCCGGCCAGCTCCTGCAGGAATTCTGACCAATCCTGTCCGCTTCTGCAGTTACTATTTTTGTCTTTACCAACCTGTAATATTTTCTAATAAACTTAAATGGTTCTATTTCCCAAAACCCACACAAATTAGTCATTCAAACCAGGATAAAGCAGTTACTAAGGATGAATGAATGATTGCGTTAAATGCATAGCGCCACACGAGCGTTCAGTATCCTGTGTTAATCAGTGTGGCCTTCCTTTAGCAGCAGCTCTCCTGAAGCTGGAATGACTTTCTTCCTCAGCATATAATTTGTTGTCACTCTGCATAAACATCAGACACGGGTAGGAGGTGTTGCACAATGTTTGGAGGTGGAATTGTACATTAGATCTGGAAGTTAATATAGTTCCAGGTTGATTTGCTTATGTACTGTATATATTTAAAACAGACTGTTCTGCTATTTAATGAAACCCTATGTACAAATTGTGCTGCTCAGTTGCACTATGTACATTGAGGGGCATGCAGGTTACACAATGCCAACACAAAAATAATCTGTTTTATGTCTTGGAATATTATTTGAGTATATTATTTTAGTTTGGTATGCTGTACGATTTGGCCCACATATAGGCTGCTCTTAAGACCTTCTCATTAGATCTTTTTTTCTTTTAACCCCAATTTATTATTACAAACTCCATCACAAAAAATACCACAAGTGTAATTCTGTATAAACATGATGCTGAAAAATTGTAGAATATCCTCTGAACTAAAAGAAAAATGATCCTTGGCTGAAGATGACTGAACACAGAGAAAGTGTGGAACCAGAGACTGCTGGAGGCCTGACTGAACACATGACTGAGAACAGAAAGAGCAGGTAGAGGTGTGTGTGTATGTGAGAGAATGTGTGTGGGTGTGTTGGGTGGGATAAACTGACCTCATCATTGAGATTGCTGGCTAGAAGCACTGCACCAGCCGCCGAGTGTCCTGACAGAGCGACTCGCCCAGCTGCTGCCGCTGCCGCGGCTGCCGCACTTAGAGGACTGATTGACCCTACAGAGAGCAAGAGAGTGACAGAGTGTGTGTGTGAGTGTGTGAGTGTGTGTGTGAGTGTGTGTGTGTGTGTGTGTGTGTGTGTGAGTGAGAGTGAGAGTGTGTGTGTGTGTGTGTGTGTGTGTGTGAGTGTGAGAGAGAGAGAGAGAGAGAGAGAGAGAGAGAGAGAGGCAGAAAGGAGATACAGCCAGAAAAAGAGAAATAAATAGAGGAAACAGAGTAAAAAAGGAAATGAGGGAGAGATAGAATGAAAGCATTAAATGTCAATCAAACGTTCATTCCCAGCAACCCCTCTGACCAAACTGCATTTAACGTACACACACCAGTCAGCTCATTTTCACATGGACTTGTTGGTATTGTGAAACTTATAAAGACAAACACATCAGCTTTAGCTGTGTAAATCAGTTTCTCCAGCTTATATTTCACCTCCAATTGTCTCTCTCTCTGTCTGAGAAAGCATCTCTGTGCTCCTATACAGGCCACAGTACAGAAACTCAGCCTCACTGTACCTGTCCACATGCAAATTTACTGCGCTGCAACCCATTTTCTTCAATGAGAAGTTCTGCCAGATCTGTGCGCCACATGACAGCTGCTGCATTGTGCTATGTCAGCATTATTATAAAATACATCATATTTAAAAAGTTGATACATGTTACGATTAAGTAAAAACTAAAAACACACAATGCTTATTTGATATAACACAAAATAAAAATGGCAAACAGTGCATCAATTTGTATACTCCCCCAATGATATGTTCAATGCAGTTTGATTTTTTTTTTTAACGTCCATATCTAAAACTATAGAGGAACAAAAAGGTGATGGAGCAGCAAAAAAAATTTGCAAGTAGACGAGTACCTTTCATGCTGTACCTTCTGAGTAGTGACAGCTCTGCCAGCACTGAGAGCAGAAGTAATGTTAAGAAAAGTTAAACACCAGCGAATGGATGCTTGGTGTCTCCTCAGAGAGAGAAGCATGCAATAACTTAAAATAACACAAAAACACAAAAAAGTGTTATTTTATTCATACAATAATTAGCTTGAAGCATCCTAAATAATATTAAATATAATAAATACTATTTTAAGAAATAATATTCTTATATTTTGGTATAAAATGTTACCACAGTGATATTTATAAACACTTTGGCCTTTATGATTTCATAAGCTCAAAAAGCTGGACCTACAAGTGACAACAGTGGTGGTCACAACAACGGCAACCGTCACCAGGGACAACAACCTGCATCAGTTACTAGCAACATTACTGTTCCTTTTTTTTTTTTAGCAGATCTGAGCAGACAAAACAGTGAAGTTGTCCTGGGAGGAAACGGGAAATAAAAAGGTAGTCATGATCATTG